AAAGGCCTCAGTGAAAAAAAAATCCGCTTAGTAGCTAACCAGTGAGCAGGAAATGGGTCACCAGCTAAGCTGATTACATTGCAGGGTTTTCACTCATCCAGATGTATTTGCTGAAGTTCCCAGGCAACCTAAATCTACAATCTGGATACATCTCTGTGATTCCCCCACCCCCAAAAAATAAAAATCCAAAACAAAATGTATAAAATGAACATAATGTTTGTGATACAGGTAAAGATGTGCTACCTTGATATCTTTCAAGAGGGGAGCTACTGCTGAACTGCAAGAAGTGTTTAATGGGGCCATGCACCTTCCAAGGCAGCCCCTCCCAATGACAGAGGACGGAGGTGCCAGAGCTGGCCAGTGTGGTCTGATGGAGTCATCTTCTTTGTGTGTGTATGTATGCCAGTGCTGGGGGCTTGAACTCGGTTCATCATGCTCTTGCTTAGGTTTTTCACTCAAATCAAACCCTACCACTTGAGCCACAACTCCACATCTGGCTTTTTGCTGGTTCATTGGAGATAAAGGTTTTCTGGATTTGTCTTCTTGGACTGACTGAGCCTCAATCCTAAAATGTCAGCCTCCTGAGTCACTAAGATTAAAAGCATAAGCCACTTCACCCTGCTGATAGAATCAATGTGGATGTGAAATTCTCACTCCCGAGTCCTCTATCAAGTTTGCCAAGACTACAGCAGACTTGCTTTGTGAAAACACACACAACTTAATCTATCCAGAACCACTTGTGAATTCCTTCCCTCTTACAGCCAAATAAAAAAGCCTAAAGAATCTTCTTACTTCCCTATTATTTCTTCTCTGCTTATTCCATGCTAACCTTTTAACACAAATATGGCTCCATCCATAATTGGCTGAGAACTTGTGAAGAACCTGCACTGGCATGCAATCATCTAGCCCCCCCCCTCCTCTTCTGACCAACTTCATTTTCTGGTTTCCTGATTTGGCATAAAGGTGTTAGGAGTAGTTAATGGTGGGAGACAAGACAAAGGACTGGGACAATCAAAGGGACAAGTCACTCAGGTGACATAACTTGTGGCTAAGAAACCCTGACAATAAAGGGGAGGGGATCTAAAACTGTGCTAGCCTCATGTCCCTTCCTGTAGAAACCTCCAGAAATTTGGCTCTTAGAATTCTTAAAAGAAACAGAACTACTTTGTGCTTATGAAATGACTAGATATAAATGGCTCCTGATAGACTTGATGAGACTATCCTGTCTGTTCCATTAGAAAATTCCACTCACTGCTACTAGCAAACAAACACTGTTTGCAAATAAATCCGTAATATTAACAAAACTTGCACATAGCCCAGATAGAGAACTGGAAAACCTATGAGAGACTAAACATAACTTGCCTTTCTTTCCCGAGCTAGAACTCTTTCCTCAGTCCTTTTTGAGCTCGAACTCTTTCCGGTCCTTTCCACTCATGTCTGAGTTGTTTCCCAGGCCACTCATGCACTGGGCTGTGCCTGTGGAAGACATGTAAAAGATCACCATATCCTAGCCCTCCTGAACTATGTAGACCTTGTGACTCATGTTATACCGAGTGCAATGTTTGAGTAAAATGATGTTTGAGAAAGCCCTTCTTCTTCAGTCTCCTGCCCTGCTGAGACAACTGTTGGCATCCCAGATGGTGGAGCCTCCATCAGCCTGGTCCTTGAGTGAATAAATGATGCAAAGCCCTCTCCTCCCAACCCTCTCCCTCATCCACATCTCCTTCTCATTCAAATACACTCTTTTTATTTTTTAGATTCAGGACCGGGTCTCCAACTTGGTAGCTGATGCTTTTGGTTTACCAAGTGAGCCAGGCCTCTGATTCATCAAACACACTCTTAAAGAGTGGAAATAAAGGGATATGTTTTAGGCCACTAGAATTGGGGAAACACTACTGTGTCATAAATATAGCCTGCTTACAATGTCCTTGCAACTAAGTAAAATATACTCAAATGCTTGTCAATCCATGTTTGTCTTTACTAGATTATATGAAAGTTAAAACCAGAATTATCAGCTGTGCACCTTTGAATAATCTGCTCATTGAGTCTGTTGATAGTCTCATCTAATGCCCACGTCCACTTTCCAGAATGTAAAGTCTATTGTTTTAGTTTACCCTGAAACTTGGGTAACTGAAAATAAAGTGACTTCAGGCTTGCCTTCTACCTAGTTGGAAAAAATAAGAGACATGATGGAGATTACAACCAACATCCAAAGTAAACTTGTAAGGTAAACCCACCGGAAGTCATCATGGAGCATCATGTCATCATCTTCTAGGACACTCAGAGATAATTCAGTTTTCATGAAATGACTCATACTCACTATATACTACAAGATTAATAGATAAACCAGACACCATTTATTTTTTGTAATATGATAAGTTTTGAAGTGACTTAAATACTTTTGGGGACAATTCAGAATGAACTTTCCCTATAAAAGCCAATCAGGGAAAACCAAACTTATGAAGGGAGGTTGACAGAGGGCATTGGAAGGCTGAGGATGACTATTTTGAAGACTATGGCCCATGAATGGGGATTCTAGAAAATCACTGGAAAGTTTAATTTGCTCCTTCTCCTCTTCCCCCTTTGAATCACTTGATACCTCCCAAACGTATCTCTCTCTGTTTCTCTCTCTGTCTCTCCATCTCTGTCTCTGTCTCTCTCTGATATTAGCATACTAGCTAATGCATGCTTCCAAGTTCCTGATTTTTCTTCAGAGTTCACTAATGTCAACTGTTTGGGATCAATAATTTTTCAGTCAGGCTTAAGTCAACATTTAAAGGCGACATCTTTGATTTTTTGTGGTTGTGTGTATGTGTGTGTGTATGTGTGTGTGAGAGAGAGAGAGTGAGAGAGAGAGAGAGAGCGGGTTCTAGGGTTTGAAGTCAGTACCTGGACAGCACTCTACCACTTGTGCCACAGCCCTACTTCTGGTTTTTGAGTAGTTTATTGGAGATAAGAGTCTCACAAGCTTTACTCCCTATGCTTGCTTCAAGTTGTGATCCTCAGATTTCAGCCTCCTGAGTAGTTAGGATTACAGGCGTGAGCCACTGACATCTGACTCAGAGAGCTGTTTTTGCCTGCTACATTTATATTTGTTCTGATTTAAGAGTTGTTTGCCACTCTCCTCCTGTATTCAACTATTCTAATCAAGTCTTGAGAATCCATAGACACAGTAGAAATATACATATACACCCAGATAAGGGGTTGACAAACTATAATCTATGGGCTCAATCCAGATTTTCATCTGCTTTTTTATAAATAACATTTTATTGGTCCAAAGCCATGCCATTAACTCACAGATTGTTATTGAATTTACATCCCATTACCAGAGTTGAACATTGATAAGCCCCATAATATTTATTATCTGTTTTTGTTTACAAAGAAACACTGGCCCTTGATGTAGATAGTCTCAGTCATCATCAAACTGAATAGTTTTTCTTACCAATGATAATGGCTCACAGATATAATCAAATATATCCCTTAGACAGTGGCAGAAAAATATCCAGGTGTTGAAACTGTAGGCTTATATGCACAAGTGTTGTCATTGTGTTGATCCTAGGTTTCAGTGCCTCTGAAACAACTCATTTTCCATAGCGAATCTATTATGGGTCACATTGCCAAGATCCATGCCAAATAAAGACCCTTAGTCCAGCTAAAAACTTGTCCAACCCAGATCCCAAAAGATAATCTACCTCTCCCCTGCAAAGATCAATTCTTTGGTTCTCAGATTTGTCATCTGCAGAATGAAGCAGAATTGGGTTGTCATGAGAATTTAAATGTGAGAAAATTAGGAGAGATATTCTGAAAGGTCTTTTGTAAGTGTGAAAGGGATTTATATCTTGTAAATATTTCCATGATGTAGAGTCTCTTGCTCGTGACTAACAAAATAATTCCTATGGATGACTAGCTGTCCCCAAATATTCTCAGCTGTTGCCCCAGAGTTGAAACTAGGTATTTTGGTTGCTCCCTGCTAGAGCTCAGCTCTGTGGACCAGGAACAAGTGAAGCCATCCCTTCCCTGGGAATATGCATTTTCTCCTGTGAAATGAGACACCAACCCAATGGTTTTCAGCCTTATGCAAAACCGAACCAAAGTCCTCTTCTGAAGTGGTCCACTGAGTGACCAGGAGAGCTCCAAGATATTTGCAAATCCTCATGTAAGTTTCCATAGGATTCACGGACGTAATGGCGATCTAGGGAGCCTGGCAGCACTAGGTATGAAAATAGCTCTTCCAGAGAAGGTCTGTTGGATTCCCTCCCTCCTCACACCCTGAGAAAAAATGAGCAAAATTCTCCTGGGCATCACCCAAACCTTAGAATTTATTGAAAATCGGTTATCTCTGAGCAGCAGAGATACACTGAAAACAAATGTTGGAATTCAGAGAATAGATGTTAGAATTCCATCACATCAATGAGTGAGGTGTCGGTGTGTGTGTGCGTGTGTGTGTGTGTGTGTGTGTGCTGTATTAGTGTTTGAACTCAGGCCTCAAGGCCTCATACTGTCCCTTAGCTTTTACACTCAAGGGTGGCGCTCTATCACTGGAGCCACAACTCCCCTTTTGGCATTATGCTGGATAATTGAAGGTAAAGAGTCTCTTGGATGTGTTTGCTCGGGCTGGTTTTGAACAGGGATCTTCTGATCTCCGTCATCTTCCTTTGTAGTTTTATAGGTGTGGGCTACAGTAGGAGCCTGGCAGGTTTTGCTTTTATTTGTTAGGCAGCAAAACACTGATGGATAGAGGCCACTTACTTAACCCCTTTATGTTTTCCCTTTAGGAAGAAAAAAAATGGAGAGAAGAACTGGTGCCTGATAAACCAAGGATGGCTTTCAGAGTTGAATGAGTGAATGCAGTATGAAGGACTCAGGACAGACCCTTCCTGGCACACGATTGCTTAAGACAGCGTTTGCTGACCATCCAGTCGCTAGGTCGCAATGGTCGAGCCCACAGGCAGGCGTCAGAGTGACCTGCCTGACCTTGACCGGGAAGCGCGGAGCAAGCCTTAGCAGAAGTACTCATGGATGCGCCTGCCCGCCCTGACCCCCAAGGCCTGAGAGTCCAGGCTGGACCTGGCCGAGAGGAGCCTGTCCGCCTCGCTGAGGCTATTCCTGGAGAGCAAGTCGGAGCCGTCCTGGCTGTGGCGCAGCCTCTCCAGGTGGACGTAGGCTCCCCCGGCAGCGTCGGCCGAGCCCCCGGCGGCGGCGCGGCACTTGCGGCAGCGCCTGCGGAGGGCCCCGCAGCAGACCAGCAGCGTGGGGGGCAGCGCGATGATGGCAGCCACGCTGATCACCACCATGTTGATGAGGCGCTGGGTGCCCTCGGCGTCCACCACCTCGTCCGTGGAGAAGATGACGCACTGCTCTCTGCGTGGCACCACGCCCCGCGCGCACACGCACGCCACGTACTTGGTCTTGGGCGCCAGGCCCTCGATGGTCACGCTGGTCTTCCCGGGCTGGACCATCACCCTGCTCATGTCCCGCTGCCCAAACACCGCGTAGAGCACGCTGACAGCCGTGGCGTTTCCAGAAGGGGGGTTCTTCCACACCAAGGACGCGCTGTGGTACGTGTCCCCCACCACCTTGAGAGACCTCACCATCTGGGCCTCCTGGGGCTCCTCCTGCCGATCCGAGGCAGAGGCGGCGCCCATCTGCAGATGCTGCAGGGTCAGTTCCTCCCTCGGGCTGGCCACCGAGGGCCGAGGGCCCCGGCCAGGAGGCTCGGGAACACGGGGGATGTGTCTGGCCACCAGTTTGTTGTTGTAAGCCGCAGCCTCCACCCCTTCCCCTACCCTTGCCAGCAAGGCCCCCGGGAGCCCCCCACTGTGCTCCGTGGAAGTCTGGGGTTCCGTGACCAGCAGGGAGATGAGCATCTCGGAGGTTCCCAGGAAGTTCTGGGCCTGGCAGATGTAGTCTCCAGAGTCCAGGCCAGACACTGCAGGTAGGTCCAGCAGAGACCAGCTGGAGCCATCGCTGGAGACTTCTTGGTGCACTAGGGAGAGAGGAGGCAGACGTGGGAGGAGGAATGCATTCAGCTCCACCAACACCACCCCCATCCTCTGCCAGCGCTAAGTTCACAGCTCCTGGTTTGCACACTCGATCATGAATACCTTGTCATCCCAAGAACACACTGGCAGAAATTCAGCTTTCACATCGTTCAAGGATCAGTTCATTGGGTCATTCAAGGCCAGACCTTTGCATTCATAGCTGAATGCCGTTGGCTTAGACTAGCCAAGGGTCTCAAGATTACCCGGGCTCCAAGTGTGAGGAGAGTCCTTGGAACTCCAGGCAGAGGCTGAGCCTAAGAATAAACTGTCATTCAAATTCTGAGCTGTTCAGAGTGCTTTGCTTTGTTTGTTTTGTTTTGTTTTTGGCACCTGTGAGGCTTGAACTCAGGGCTTGGGCACTTTCCCTGAGGCTCTTTTGCTCAAGGCTAGCACTCTACCATTTTGAGCCACCGCTCTACTTCCGGTTTTTGAGTGGTTAATTGGAAATAAGAGTCTCATGGGGCCTTTACTAGCGGGGCTGGATTTGAACCGTGAACCTCTAATCTCAGCCTCCTGAGTAGCTGGGATTACAGGCAACTGGCTCAAAGTGTGTTTTTTTTAGGGTGCTGGAGTCTTGTAGAGGCAGGTGCATTGGAAGGGAGGCTGGCCAGGTAGTGAGCAGAAGGCAAAGGCCTAGTTGGAAGTTCCCTTCCCATCCCTACTCACACCCACTACCAAGTCAGCCAGAGCACCTTTACCTTCTTGATTTACACAATGGAGCTTTGGGTACCATTTTGTTTGTGAATTTATTTATAAACCCCTTGCCGATCTAGTTGAGTGAGAAGGCCAGGAGGCATGTGAGGTTTACTGATTCAGTGCTAAATCATTCCTCCTCCACCTCATTTTTCTGCCTGTGGATGGCTGTGACTCCCACCTTCTCTGTCACCATGGCAGAGATGAATCATTACTGCCCACACAGCCTAACAGAAATAGGACACACAGTTGGAATCCTAGTTTTTTCTCACAAGCTGTATGATGTTGGCCAAGCATTTACTTCCCATTTACTCGCTTGCAAAATAAGGATAATCAGGTTATTCTTTAAAGTTCAATGACATTCTGGGCATAATTCACTTCACATAATGACCAACACAGATGAAGGGCTCAGGAGATGATAACCTCCATTAACCCTCACTTAATTTTCACAATTGGGAAACTTGCTATCAGTATGAAATACATTAAAAGAGGGCTGGGAGGGGCTGGGAAGGTGGCTCAGTGGTAGAGCGCTCGCGTTGCATGCTCGAGGCCCTGGGTTCGATTCCTCAGCACCACATAAACAGAAAAAGGCAAAAGTGGCAGTATGGCTCAAGTGGTAGAGTGCTAGCCTTGAGCAAAAGTAGCTCGGGGACACCAGTGCCCAGACCCTGAGTTCAAGTCCCAGGACTGGAAAAAACAAAAAAATAACACTACAAGAGTGTTTTTTGACCAAATATCACTTTTTAAAATTCTTCCCAAGATGGTCCTGAGTCTTGAATACAGGACAGGTTTGGAACATGGGGACAAGGGGCCTTAACAATTTTTAAGTTGTTGATACTGAGTTGGATGCTATCCAACTCCATTCAGACAAATGAAAGTCTACCCTGAGTCCCTCGAACACTACAATCCAGTCTGGAAGTCCCTGAATGGATGGGACACTGGTGGCTCATATCTGTTAGATATCAGGAAGCTGAGATCTATGAATCACAGTTCAAAGCCTGCGAGAGTCTTATCTCCAATTAACCAGTAAAAAAGCTTCACATGGAAGTATGGCTCAAGTGGTAGAGTACCACCCTTGAGTGAAAAAGCCAAGCAAAAGTGAAAGGCCCTGAGTATAAGCCCCAGTACTGGCACATACACCCTAAAAATGTTCCTGCTGTAGTTCACATACCTGTGCCATTGACTGGGTGCCCGTTGGCTCTTCGCCAGCTCATCTCAGGCCCAGGGACCCCAGTGGCTCCACAGCGCAGCAATACTGTGCTACCCACAGGGGATATGATGCTGGTCACCCCTGGATGCAGCTCTGGACCCTGACATTTCCTGAGCTCCAGTTGGCTGAAGGCCACTCCAGACAGGCTACGTGGGCTGCCACACTTCAATCTGGCTTCAATGAAGACCAAGGTTGGGACCCAGCCATCCAGAAGATGGACCAGTTCATACAGTCGGCAGTCACATACCCATGGGTTGTCCTGTAGACCTGCAGGCGTGTGTGAGAGAAAGCAAGAAGTGAGGCCAAGATACCCAGATCCTCAGGTCTGCCTTTCCCCTTAGGTAAAATGAAGCAGCTCAGACAAAGTAAGTAGAACTGGCCTACAGGCCCAGCTCCCTGTCTTGTTAGTTATATGATCTTAAACTGGCTTCTTTATTTTGAATAGCACCATTACTTGCCTTCTAGGTTCTGTCAGCATAAATAAAAGTACTGGGCAAGTCACACGGCATACTGACAAAATGCAATTACTGACGTCATACTGAAGCTAATTTTTTCAAGCCCCTGGTGGGGCAGGGGGCAGACTATAATAATTGGAATATGCCAGAATGCATTTTGCTTCTCTGGCTCCTGACCCTTAAGCCCAGGCATCCCAGGATAAATGGCAATAAGAATGGTTCTGAGTTGGGCTGGGAAGGTGGCTCAGTGGTAGAGTGCTTGCCTTGCATGTATGAGGCCCTGGGTTCTACTCCTCAGCACCACATTAGCAAAAAGAAAAAAACCAGAAGTGGCACTGTGGCTCAAGTGGTAGAGCGCTAGCCTTGAGCTGAAGAGCTGAGGGACAGCGCCCAGGCCTAGAGTTCAGGCCCCATGACCGGACCCCCCCCCAAAAAAAAGAATGGTTCTGAGTAACAGTTCCCTTTGACATACGCTCAAATGGGGAAAATGGTGGAGTATGAAGAATGGAAAATCAAATTGCATGACATATCCCCAGACCTCTTAGTATTGAATATTTTTAAAGAAATGAGCAAGGCACTGGTGGCTCACACCTGCTATCCTAACTACGGAAGAGGCTGAGATCTGAGGATCATGGTTCGAAGCCAAACCAGTCAGGAAAGTCCGTGAGACTCCCATCTCCAATTAACTACCAGAAAACTGAAAGCAGTGCAGTGGCTCAAAGTGGTAGAGTACTAACCTTTAGTGTAAAAGCTCAGAGACAGCACCCAGGCCCTGAGTTCAAGTCTCATGACTGACAAAAAAGAAACAAAGAGAAAAGAAAAGAAAAGAAGAAAGAAAAGCAAGCAAGCAGGCAGGCAGCAATGGATCTTGTTGAAATTGTTTTGAGAAAGGGTGAAGGAGGGCAGGATAAGAAAGAATGATAGAGGGGATGAGTTTTCATTTCTAAAATACAAGATGAAAGCATTTATTATAATGTTCTGTTTTGTGGGGAAGGTGTGCCAGCATTGAGGGCTTTAACTCAGAGCACTGTCCTTGAGCTTTCTCACTCAAAGCTGATGCGCTACCACTTGAAACACAAAGCCACTTTGGCTTTTTGGTGGTTAATTGGAGATAACAGTTTCAGAGACTTTCCTGCCTGGGCTGACTTTGAACCCTGATCTTTAGTCCCTAGCCTCTTGAGTAACTAGGATTATAGTATGAATCACCAGCATCCAGCTGTGATTTTCTTTTTGTATCCCCCAAGGCTTGCTATTAAGTTTGATAGAGTATAATAACCCATGATTTGTTATACATTTACGCACATATATTTGGAGAAGGGGATGTCAAAGAGAAGGAATGTTTGGATCTGATTGCATGTCACTGACTCTCAGGTCCTTTTGAGGGCAACTAGGGTACCAGTTTCTTCTGCCTCCTTGCTCCATCCTGCCAAAAGCTGATACCTGGTGTTCAATGCACTCATAATATATCTACAACCCAAGAGTCATCTCTAACTCAGCTCTGGTGGTAAACTACTTGGCAAAAGGCTGTTACAAAAGAATCAATGCAAAAAGTAAAGTAAGACAACAGTAAAGCTTTCACCCTTCAGACTGACAATAGTAAAGCATTTTGACCAGTTTGTTAGTTGAATAAGGGAATAGATTTCTGATTTCTGATGGTGGTGGTGTGTATATACTGTTACTAAGGCTTGAACTCTGGGCCTCACACTGTCAGCTTTTTCACTCAAGGCTGATGCTCTACCCCTGGGCCATACATCTACTTCTAGATTGTTACTGGTTCATTAAAGACTCTCATGGATTTGTCTTTCTGGGCTGCCTTTGAAGCTCAATCCTCAGATCACAGCCTCTTGAATAGCTAGGATGAGAGGTGTGAGCTACCAGTAACCAGCCTAGATTTCTGTTTTGTTCATTAATGTATATCTAGTACCCAGAATCGCGCACACACGCACACACACAAATCACTGGGTGATTACAAGGAATGAATGATCTTGACTGGTGAAATGGCTCAAGTGGTATAGCACCACAAAAGGATAAAGGGACGAGAGAGAGAGGAAAATAGTGAGAGAGAGAGAGAGAATGTAATTTGTTGGCTGGAGGCAAGGTTCAGCAGTAGAGCACCTAACTAGCTAGCACAAGGCCCAGGGTTCAGAATTAATGCTGTCAAAAAGAAAAAAGAGCTTATGAATGAATGGTCTTACACACAGGGTGGAGAGTACGAATTGTACCAGCCATGTTTGAACTATGAGGCTGAGTGTAAAATGCACACTATGCACACTCCATGACTTAACAATTGTACTTTCCAGCTCTTATCCTTCAGCAACACGTGCGTTTGCACACAAAAAAATATTTCCAAGAATGTTCCCTGTGACATCCCAGGTGTTAGCAAAATAAGGAAGACATTCTAAAGGTGCTTTGAGGAGGGATGGCTACTATACTAGGTGGTAAAGTATACTATGGAATAATGTGCAGTAGTTTAAAAAAGGCAATTTGTTCCATTTGCCATAATTTAGAAAGACCTCTGAGATACATTGTTAAAAGAGAAAGATAATGCTATGTAATAGGTAGATAGATAGATAGATAAAAATGAGTAACACATATGCATAACTTCATGCACACATGTATGTAAGAATTTGTATACATACATGAATGTATTGCAAAAAATAGGGATGTTTCTGGAATGAAAGAATGAGAGTAGGAAGGCTAATGACAAATGGGTCATTAGTTTTCTTGGTTATGTTTTAAATGTTTATATTTGTGTAACTGATACATAATTCAAATAGATTTTCCAGTTATGCCTCATCTGTCATTCTGAGGTCAAAGTGGGTACCTTGGGAAGAATATGGGAATTAGTTCACCTATTAAGTCTCTGCTTTGTAACAAAGAGGAAGAGGAAAGATAAAGAAATCTGGTAGCCAGGAGCCAGTGACTCATGCCTGTAATCCTAGCTACTCAGGAGGCTGAGATCTGAGGATTGAAGTTCAAAGCCAGCCTGGGCAAGGAAAGTCCATGAGACCCTCATCTCCAATAAGCCACTCAGAAAACCAGAAGTGGTACTGTGGTTCAAGTGGTAGAGGGCTCACCTTGAGCTGAAAAACTGAGGCACAGCGTCCAGGCCCAGAGTTCAAACCCTACAACCAACAAAAAAGGAAGAAAGAGAGAGAGAGAGAAATCTGGTGATGCGATGCACAAACCTATTGAACCCTGAGGTGGGAAAAGTCTCAAAGGAGCTTCCTATTGCTCTTATAATCTGGAAGACCTGTTGTACTTTTGTTTTCATTTTGTTTTGTTTGAGGGTGTGTGTGTGTGTGTTTTTGCTTCTGTTTTTTTTTTTTTTAGTTCACAACACTGGGACATGAATTGCTACAGTAGGGCTTGAACCTTGAACTCCCAAGAAGGTTACATTGTGGCTTTCTCCATCTTTACCCAAACATGCTAGGGAGGTATGACTTTTATTTTCCAGCTAAAGAATCAGATTTAGGCCTGTGATCCTAGCTACTCAGAAGGCTGAGATCTGAGGATCATTGTTTGTAGTCTGCAAGGCTCTTATTTCTAAAAAAGACTACTCAGAAAAATCTGGAAGTGGTGCTGTGGGTCAAGTGGTAGAGTGCTAGAGTTGAGCACAAAGAAGCTCAGGGACAGCATCCAGGCCCTGAGTTCAAGCCCCATGACTAGCCAAAAGGAGGAGGAGGAGGAGGAGGAGGAGGAGGAGAAGGAGGAAGGAAGGAGGAGGGGGAGGAGGAGGAAGGGAGGAGGAAAGAGAGAGGGAGGAGCAGGGGGAGGGAAGGAGGAGGAGAAGGAAGAAGAAGAAAAAGAAGAAGAGGAGGAGGAGGAAAGGAAGGGAGGGAGGAAAAAAGGAAGGAAGGAAGGAGGAGGAGAAGGAGGAAGGAAGGAGGAAAGAGGAGGAGGAAGGAAGGAGGAGGGGGAGGAGGAGAAAGGAAGGAGGATGGGGAGGAGGAGGAAGGGGGAGGAGGAAGGGAGGAGGAAAGAGAGAGGGAGGAGGAGGGGGAGGGGAGGAGGAGGAGAAGGAAGAAGAAAAAGAAGAAGAGGAGGAGGAGGAGGAAAGGAAGGGAGGGAGGGAGGAATGACGGAAGGAAGGAAGGAGGGAGGGAGGGAGGGAGAAGGAAGGAATGAAAGAAGGAAGGAAGGAAGGAGGGAAGGAAGGAAGGAGGGAGGGAGGGAAAGAGGAGAGGCAAAAGGAAAGAGAGGGAGGAGGAGGGGGAGGGGAGGAGGAGAAGGAAGAAGAAGAAGAAGAAGAAGAAGAAGAAGAAGAAGAAGAAGAAGAAGAAGAAGAAGAAGAAGAAGAAGAAGAAGGAGAAGGAGAAGGAGAGGA